GCTATGTACGTAAATAATTAGATTGTATTTTTTAAAATTTGTGGAGTTTTTTTTTAGGGGGGAGGCAGGGTCTTGCTATGTTGCCCAGGCTGATCTCAAACTCCCGGGCTCAAGCAATCCTCCCTCTCAGCAACCCAAGGCTAGGATTACAGGTGTGCTCACCATGCTGGGCTTAATTCGTATTATTTTTTATTACTGTATAGTCATTTAATTTCTTTTTTTTTTTTTTTTTGCTCTGTTGCCCAGGCTGGAGTGCAATGGCATGATCTCGGCTCACTACAACCTCTGCCGCCTCCTGGGTTCAAGCAAGTCTCTGCCTCAGCCTCAAGCAGCTGGGATTATAGCTGCCCGCCACCACATCCAGCTAACTTTTGTATTTTTAGTAGAGACGGGGTTTCACCATCTTGGCCAGGCTGGTCTTGAACTCCTGACTTCATGATCCACCACGCCTGGCCAAAAAAAAATTTTTTTTCAAATATTTTCCATCAGTGGTTTGTTAAACCCATGGATGCAGAGCCCACAGATACAAAGGATCAACTGTATTTGTCCTTTTGTGACCAGCTTATTTCATGTAACATGAGGTCCTCAAAGGTACATCCATGTAGCAATGGACAAGATTTCTTTCCCTTTTAAGGCAGACTAGCATCCCAGAATATGTCTGAATCACATTCTGTTTATCCATTCACCTGCTGATGGAGGCTTTGGTTCCTTCCATTTTTGGGCTATTGTGAACAATGCTGCTGTGAACATGGGCGTGCAAATATATCCTCCTTTCAATCCTTCTTTGGGGTATATATCCATAAGCATGACTGCTGGACTGTAAGATAGTTCTATTTTTAATTTTTTGAGAAACTGCCGTAATGCAAATGCACCATTTGACATTCTCCCCAACAGTGTAGAAGGGTTCCAGTTTCTCCCTATCTTTGTCAACACTTGTTTTTTTGTTTTTCCTTTTAATAGATGCCATCCTAACAGATGTGAGATAGTACCTCATTGTGGGATTTGTTTTGTTTTTTTGGAAACGAAGTCTTGCTCTGTCACCCAGCCTAGAGTGTAATGGTGCAATCACAGCTCACTGTAGCCTCAACCTCCCAGGATCAAGCAATCCTCCTACCTCAGCCTCCCAAGTAGGTGAGACTAGAGGCATGTGCCATGAGGCCTGGCTAATTTTTATTTATGAGTTCCTAAATATGAAATTAACAATTAAATGTTATTTGTCCTCTGCATTGCATATTTTCTCATAATCTAGTATTCTTCAATTGACTTAAATATGTCTCTTTTACCATTTACAAATTTTCAGCATTTGAAGAGGCAAACAGAACAGCTACCTCTTCTTTTACAGCTTCCAGTTTTCTAATCTTCAAGTCTCCCCCACACAAGACTAGTTTCCTAGCTTTCCTTACAAGACTTATCCGTAATTTATTTTTATAAAGTATGACAGATGGTAAATTTTGTTGTTTTTTTACCAAAAAAAAAATCCATGTAGCAGTAAGACTTATTAAATCATGCTTTGCCTAATGAACTGAATTACCACATTAGACATATTTAACCCTCATAAATGTCCGGTGTGGTGGCTCATGCCTATAATCCTAGCACTTTGGGAGGCCAAGGTGGGTGGATCACCTCAGGTCAGGAGTTCAAGACCAGCCTGGCCATAATGGTGAAACCCCATCTTTAAAAAAAAAAAAACCTCATAAATGCTAGACTTTATTTCAGGATTCTCTATTCCATTTCACTGGTCCATTTTTCTCTTCTTCTATCAATATCATATTGATTAGATCACTATGGCTGTACTCAAGTCTACAAGTCCTACCCCCAAAAACTATAAAAACCAAAAGTGCTTTTGTATATTTTATAAGTTTGTGGCATGAGGTATTTACACCCTTCGTTTCTTCAACTTGGTATGTATACTGATATATATATTTCTCTGCAGAAGTATTAATGTGTTTTGTTATAGGACACAGCTCCTGGCCCTGGGATTGGAGTATTTTATATAATGTACATTATATACACTGCATTGTCTTCCTGAAATCCAAATAATTTTAAACCCCAAAACACATGTGGCCCCAAGGGATTCAGGGATTCTGAAGTGGATTGTGGACCTTTGCCTTTTTTTTTTTTTTTTTCTTTTTTTTTTAAAGACAGAGTCTCACTCTGTCGCCAGTTGCCAGGCTGGAGTGCAGTGGCACAATCTCAGCTCACTGCAACCTCCGCCTCCCCGGTTCAAGCAATTCTCCTGCTCAGCCTCCGGAGTAGTTGGGACTACAGGCGCACGCCACCACACCCAACTAATTTTTGTATTTTTAGTAGAGACGGGGTTTCACTATGTTGGCCAGGATGGTCTTCATCTCTTGACCTCATGATTCACCCGCCTCGGCCTCCCAAAGTGCTGGGATTACAGGCTTGAGCCACCGGCCCCA